TTCTCCACTCACCACAGCTGCTATTAGCTGCTGGAAAAATCTATGAGCATCCTTTTCAGCCATCCCTACATCGGGCTCTAAAGAGAGCGTAAAAGAAGAAAGAGTAAGCCTGAAATCAAATACTTGCAAAGAATGATTACTGAAAACTCTAGACGCATTTCAGCTAAGTTGAATTCATGTATTCATGCTAATCATATCCGAGTCAGGAAAGCTACAGTTGGAAGAATAAATCAGCAAACAAAAGGTTTTTCTTGTATGACAGTTTACGGCTCACCGATTCGGTCAAACAGCTCTCCCCCGGTGCAGTACTCCAGGAAGAGGTACACAGTCGGTCCTTCCTTCCGATGGCCAAAGAAGCGTACAATGTTGGTGTGTTTGAGCATCTATGAGTTAAGTGCACACACAAAGATCCTCAAAACAGTGCTCTCAGCTATCATTCTACCTAGCTAAGAGCTTAACGTTTTTAATTAATTCTACAAATCTAAAACAATTAAAAATAAAATAAAAACAACTTCAGTCTGTGTTAAATTGCTTACAATCAGCTTGTACCTGTAAACCAGAGGAACAAACTGGTCAGTCTCAGCCAGTTTATCTTTATGAATCTAACCAACATTAATAACAAGTGCCATTTCTTTATATTTTACTTTAGTATGAAGTATGACTTCATACATGTTTGCTTTCAGTTTGCCTCTTCAGTGTCTGTTCAGCTGGTTTTTGGATCTTCTGTCATCATGTCACATCATTTTAGGTGAGCCAAAACAAGCAGACACATCTGTACATCTGTATTCTTATCTGCATGTTTGCTTTCAGCTTGCCTGGAATGGCATTAGCTTTAACCAACTTTTCCCAACAAATGACACCCTCGAGCTGAGGGCTACCAACGTCCTCAGATCAGCTGAGGCTAGAGTTGGTTTTCACAACAGTAACAGTTTTTATCTAATTCTCACAGTCTGGAACTGGCATGAACAGGCTGTGTTCATGCCACTAACTGATGCAAGGAAAAGGGAAATGAGAGCATACAAAGCTGTGATTCAGTTAATTAACAATTTCTTTCATGCAGCTGTTTACTGTATTAATATATGGATTTAAGAACAGCTGGACTTGTTTTACAACACACCACTGGTGAGCCGCTGCTTTCATTCATACTAACTGTGCAGGTGAAAGTGATGGATGTACCTTGTGGATGCAGACCTCCTTCTTGACATTTTCAGCACACTCTTTTGCCTGCGAGGTATCGATGACCTTCACTGCTACCGCCTCTTCGGTCTGTCTGTTCACCAGCAGCCTCACTCTGAGACCAAGAACACAAAGAGGACAAACTGGTTAGATCATAAAGAGAAACGAGAACACGGAGGTGAAGAGAAGTGAGAGGAAGTCTGAATGGAAACAGGATCCAGAAAGAGCTAAAGTACTTAAGTACTGTGTGCAGCATGCAATGTTGAAAATGTGCTATATAAATAAACTTGACTTTGACCTCTAGAAAACAAGAAAAACAAACAAACAGAAATATTTAAGATCAGTTTAAACCCACTCAAAGAGTCAATCTAAAGTTAAAAGGTTCTTTTTGTGCAGTAGTTTTCTTCAATAACAAACTTTGAGCATCGGTATCTCTGGACACCTCATTTAATGGTGGCATAATGCCATAATTTAAGAATGATAGAAGCAGTCATTGCTACCCTGACTGTTTGATTTGTTTTCTAACAATTCCATTGCAAAAACCATGGAATTGTTCTGGTAAAAATGGTTAAACTTTCAAATCAACACTACATTAAACATGTTTTCGCATATGTAAGGTCTCATTTTTACCTACGTTTTGATACCTGGTTCATCTACCTTTTTTCAAAACTAACTGTGACTGGGATGGAGTCAGGTGTCTCCTGTGAGTGATGTTTTTGGATTATCAGATGAACATTTCTAGTGCATATACATGCCTGTCATGATCCCATGAAACAAGGGAAAAAAAATCCTTGTGCGATGGCTAGAAGAGGACAGCTATTAAAGGCGATAAGCTGATGATAAACAATGATAAGGAATCTTTCATACTCTCCGTAGGCTCCTTCTCCCAGAGTCTGAACAACGTCCCAGTCCTGCACAAAAGGCACCGCCATGCTAGAGACAGAAACACACGCATTCATCACTTTCGCTTTCTAATATTTACTTATGTGTTCATTATTTTCATAACATGGGTCCTATTTCTTCTAACAAGTGTCTGTTAAGCCTTTACCAGTTTACAAAACTGTTAACTTTGACAGCACTTTGACAGAGTTCTGTCAAATGTCATGATGCTCAAAAGAAAACCGCTAAGAAAACTAAAATACGAAAATATGAAAGAATAACCTACCTGCTCAGCCTTTTCACACAGCAGCGACTGCCACATGTAGCTATCCTTAAAGCTCAGACGCACGTCTTCATCCTGCTGCACTGACTTCTAAAGATTTTTCACAAATTTGGCGCGTTGTTGTCTCATTGGCGATAACTTCCGCATTTCCGCCTTGTCTTCTTCTACGCCTCTCTTCTTTTTCTTCTTCTTTGAGTTTAGCCGGTCAGACACATATTGCTGCCACCTACTGTTCACCTACTGTTATCCAAGTCTTATTCGAATTAAACATGCCAGATTTACAATTCATTATTCAACATTATTTAAAGCCTGAATAATTGCCACAAAATTTTTAAATGGAGAGTTCATTGAACCAGCTGAAAGATTTGTTTATAAAGTTATTTAGATATTTCCCCCCTTATAGTAGTTGTAATTTGCGTCATATTTGCTACATCTGGCCTTTAAAAAATGCTTTAAAAAGTATTGCAAAATTTATTTATGCTTTAAAACGGGTAACAAATCACACTGATGATGTAGAAGTCTCAAAAATTCACAAAAAACTGCATGTATTAAATACGATACACTAGGCATGAAAGGGTTAAACATCCATCCATTCTTTTCCGTTTATCCTTATTAGGGTCTCACGGGGTTGGAGCCTATAAAGTTAAACATGTGGCATGCTTTTTTATTTTCTATGTAAATAAGATTTGGGTTTATGAGATATGCCAGTCATTGCATTCTGTCTTCAGCGCTTTGGACAGCTTCACAATTCTTTTTGAATTGGGCTTGTAAAGAGCTGAAAAACATTTTAAATCTTTCTTTGAAATTACTGATGCAGGTGTTTCACAGTAATAATTGGCACTTTGCTGTTTTAAGAAGTATAATAAAAGATAGAAAACAAACAATAACATAAGAAGCAAACAAAAACCCACCCATCCACCCAACCTCATTTAGAGTCGCCCTAACTCAGGTCAGCACCAACACAGAAAGAATGACACCAAACTCTACCACTACCCTGACATTAAAAATGATGTCCTATCTATTCCCTTCTACAATATATTTACCAATATTTAAACACTCACTTAATGTAATTATATGTTAATAATCTAATGTGACTCATTGTGCAGTGTAAAAAACTACGTAAGAAATACAGATTATGACATTTACAATAACATGCTAGCTGCATGTGGAATCCACAAGATCCAATTTTAGTAACAAAAAATGCTACAATACAAATGGGTCAAAAATAAGGGAAATGCAATGCAGCTGTGAGTTTCATGCAAATGAATGTTCAAAAAGCCTTTCTTCCCATGTGAGAAAACATTTTCTAGTTAATGGATGTTACAAAGCTTTTATTTAAACTACTTTCAGGTGTCTGGAAGTGTGAAGCTTCAGCTGGAAGCTCCTGCAGATACTGTCATTTCAGAAGGCCCTTACAGAACTAAGGCTTTTCAAATTGAGGGCACTAAAGGGAAAATAATAGTGGAGTTTTGTTACTGGAGGAACTGATGTGTCCAGTATTCACACTGTAAAACTGCCCAGTTAGTCTGTGTGGCATGTAAATTAAAAAGAAGACCAAAAAAATCACATTTTCAAAACATAATCTCTTAAATGTTTTTCAGAAAACAAACTCAAAGCCAGAGAGAGCTTGAGGCACGACGGAGTGTTTAATCAATACTTGAATCAATGTGTCAACAAGCAAGCCTGGTGCTTTTGGGAAATGATGAAGTGAATGTTTGTACTTTGTCTTGATTTCACAATGATTTTGTTTTTCGTGTAACACGTGACAGCATGTGTACACATGACAGGAAATCCTGGATCCAAAAAAAAACTTAGTAAGGTCAGGACACACAACACAAACCATGCAACCCACATTTGTAGTTGATGCATTTAACTATTTCATACATAAACAATTGAATAAATGAAAACAGTTAATCAAAAAATCAAAAATCTGAGTCAAGAGCACTTTTGTTACTGTAGTGCTTCACCTTTTGTTTTAAGTGAAAGATAATTGCTTAATACAGCGGCTCAGCTGCTCAGCTGCTTTCTGTTTGTCACTTCTTACTGCACCAACCAGGTGTTATAACACAACATCACATAGTTTGGCATCTTTTTCATAACATGAGCAAAGTCTTCCCAGAAAAAAAGATATCAAGAAAAAAGACTGCAAAATATTCCTAGTAAAGTGTCAAGTGTGTCTTTAATGGAGGACCAGCTGGAGATCCAGAGATTGGGGGCATTCGGGATCAGTTCTTGGCCTCGTGCCTTGTGTACTCTGAATTTGTCAGTTTTCCACGTAGTCTTTCACAAAGTGATGAAGTGATCTTCATTCTTATTTCTGAAAGATGCAGACTCTTTGTATGGCAAATCTTTTTACTAATGAACCTAATCAGTTTGGTAAATGTTTTGCTACTGGTTGTATTTATTTATGCATTTAATTGAGATGCTCAGCACGTAATAAAAGTAAAGCGAAGTTTACAAATAATAACTACTGTAAATAGCGTCCCAGCTCACATTGTAAGTAATATATTAGATAAGAGATCTTTGCGTAATTCTAAATAAGTTATCAGTTGAGAAGGATTTATGTAAATGTAGAAATTGTTTGAGTGTTTTCTGTGATAAACATGTATTGATCCTCTTTTACGGGTCATAAAGTTAATAAGTACCAGGATGGTCTTTGTCCACTCCCAGTTTAAACATCACTCTCTATTCTGAAATAAATCAGCCACTTCTGGAATATACTCTCATTTTTAAACTGTCCCCCAGTTTAAGCTTCAAGATGAGATTTTCTATCCACTGGAGTCGGCTTGCAGCGCTTTTATGTGCACTTTGGATGGGTAAGATACTTTTATTTTAGATAAAAAATTATATACAGTTTTGAATTTCCAGTAATGTTTTTGTTGTTTATTTAGGTTGATGCATTGTATAAGGTTTAGTATTCATAACATAGATATAAAAACTGATCAATTTTCAAATATATTTATTTATTAACTAATATATAACTGAATAATACACAAACGTCCTTCTAATCCATCAGGTTTTAGAGACTTCTATGCTTATTTTTCTCAAGGTACAATAGTTTTATTTTATTAAAACTATGTTATGTTCTTAATTTGAGGTAGTTATATTGCCAAGAATAAAATAAATAAAATAAAATCATTATCAAGTAGCAACATCATCAAATGTGATTATAGTGAATTTTAAAGATTTTTTTTTTTCAGAAAATAAAAGTCTGTTCTAAATTTTGTTCATCATCTATTTATGGAAATAAAGAAATAATGTTGTGTTAAATATAAAATATCAGACTTTTTGCATTTTTACACATTAAAACATAACAATTTAAATTCTTGTAATACAAACAATACTTCGCAAAGGTAAGTAAAACAATGTATAAACCCTTCGTGATGATAAGATTTTAATAAAATAATAAAATGGTGATTTTAATAAAAGAACGTTTATTCATTGCATACTGTGCACTTTAAAAAAAGGCAAGTTTTCAATTTTACACTACTTTAGTAATTGTGTAGTGGTACGTATGTAAGTGTATGATATACTTAAATTGTAGCCTCTGAGAACTGTGGACTTTTTTTTTCAGGAGCTGGTGTTCGATGTGCTTGCCCTGAGAGTAATTTGCAAATGCAAGGAGGGAATTACACACTGAGTAACAACCTGGAGGGAGGCAGCATGTTGGTATACCACTGTCCTGAGGGCTACTATCCATACCCAGCATTAACCCTCTTATGTCAGGCTAATAACTCCTGGAGACCAAAACCCAAAAGAGCTCAGAGATGCAAGCGTGAGTGGCAAAGATGTTTCTCCCTTGCCTCACACTGCCTGATAACAACATATTAACTGAGGGTTCTTTTGTTTTGTTTCACAGTGATTGAATGCCCAGACCCCAATGTGCTGGAGTACGGAAGTGTCTCCCCCCCTCAGGAGAAGTACTATGTGGACAACGAGACCACGTATGAGTGCTACTCTGGATACACAATGCAAGGCTCCACCACACGCGCGTGCTTAAAAAATGGGAAGTGGAGCGGCTCCACTCCAATCTGCAGGCGTGACTGTGAGTCCCAAACAGCAATGATTAAAACTTGATCATTGCTGTTCCAGCTTTCTAGATTTCATTCTCGTATTTAAAAAAATACAATTTATTATGTAATTTTAGACGGACTGAAATTGACATTTTATACCTTTAGATTTGACAGCTGTTAAAACACACAGTATGATGAATGTAAGGTTTTTGTTGTAACCCCACGACGGTCTTTTCTTGAGTAGGTGCTTGCATTCAGGCCTTCCATTGTGTTTTTGACATTGGGTTTTTTTCTTACCAAAGCTGGGAATCGTTGTCCTAATCCTGGTATCCCACCTGGTGCCTCAAGAGTGGGGAATATTTTTGGAATTGATGACACGGTGAGATACACCTGCAATGGAAACCTGTTTTTGGTGGGCTCCAGTGAACGAGTGTGTCAGCAGACCGGCGAGTGGACTGGCAATGAGCCAGCATGCTACTGTAAGAATGACACAAACACATACTGTTTACACTCTGTGCCATCATCTTAGCCACTCTTTGCTCTTTTAAATGTTCTGGTTGTATGATATATACTGTTTTCCTTTGGAGGCCTTAATGGTGGGAAGCCAGTGTGGGATCACGTCCTGCTGTGACTTAGTCACTGGTTAAGCAAATAGGATCTGCAGATGTGTACTGACCATCTAAATATCACGTGTCCAGTGACAATATGATCCCTCACCAGCTTCTTATCTATAAATGTTTCCTGAAACTCCTGAGAGTCACCTTGTTATAAAGTCTTTCTTTAGTATAATTGTTATATATCACATACGTATTTCTTGCAGATAAACACACCTTCGACACACCACTGGAGGTTTCAAAGGCATTTGGCAATTCAATTAAAGAGAGCCTGACCACTTTAGAGTCCACAGGTAAGTTATTGATCAACAACTACATACTCTCACTGGACACTATATTAGCTACATCTTGCTAGTACCATTCTGGAGCCCAGGTACAGGATATCTTGAAAAACGTTCAGCAGAGATTTTGGTCTATATTCACATGACAGCAAAATGCAAATGCAAAATCTGTTGGCTTCAGATGTGAATCATCCCCACATCCCAAATATCCTTTGTTGGGTTGATATCTGGTGACTGGAGACCATTTGAGTTAATTTACTGAAGTCTTTGAGAAACCAGTTTGAGATGATTTGGGCTTTGAGACATGGTGGGTTTCCTGCTGGGAGCAGCCATCAGAAGATGGGTACGCTGTGATTGCAAAGCAGCAGACATGGTAAACAACAATACTTAGGCAGTGGCATTAAAATGTGTACTGTTTGGCCCATAATTTGTCAAGAAAACCATCCCACATCATTGCACAACCACCAGCAGGGTGAATTGCTCATGCTTTCATGGAGTTGTTTACACATCATGAATGTCTTTGCACTATAATCCGAATGTTGCAGCAGAAATCAAGACTCATCGAATCGGGCAAATTTTTTCAAATCTTCTGTTGTCCATTTTTTGTGAGCCTGTATGAATTGTAGTCTCGCACTCCTGCTCTTAGCTGACAGCAGTGACAGCCAAAGTGGGCTTCTGTTGATGTGTCAGGCATTCAGAGATGCTCTCCTGCATACTTTTTTTGTAACCAGAGGTTTACATCAAGAGTAGCAAAGCCGAACTTGATGCTGAGATTCATTGCCTGAACTCGGCCTTTATATCAACTTTATATTGGAAATATAAATGTTTGTGAAACATCTGCTTACATCTCATTGAACTCAGTTTTGTAAATCCACGAAGAGCAGTAAACATCAGAGGAACAGCAGCAAGTCAGCTGATCGCAGCTTGTACACCAAGAAAATCTACAACTCACAATAAAAATTATACTGAGGTTATTGTTCCCCATGCTGAGTCAGTACAACGGATCTTAGGGTACCACATCCACTGAATCCCACTTTCACCCCTGGCTGTACAAATTTTCCAGTTTAGGTGTGAAGGCAAAGTCACTCTCTAACACACATGTAACAAAAAATAGAGCTTTTTTAAAAAAAACTCTACTTTTTCTCTACTCATATTTTACATATCTGATTCAAGCTTTAGTTTTTCACTTTTACTTGCGTAAAGAAGTTGATTCAGTACTTCAACTTTTACCAGAGTATTTTTTAACACAAATATCTGTTCTTCAACTTAAGTGTAAAATTTGCATACTTATGCCACCTCTGGCACCACTTGTGACAAGTGGCTATTTGAGTTACTGTTGGCTTCCTATCAGCTCAAAGAAGTCTGGCCATTCCTCTATGACCTCTGACCCCTGGATATGTAGTTTTTTCTATGCATATTCTAGGAATGGTTGTGTGAGAAAATCCCAGTTGGTCAGCAGTTTCTGATCTACTCAGTCACCTTTCTTCAGTCTGATGCTCGGTTTGAACTTCAGTGGGTCGTCTTGACCACATCTGCATTAGATTCGATTTTTGCTTTAATGAGCAGTTAAACAAGTGTATCTAATAAAGTGATGGGTGTGTTTTGCTGTTTAGGCATATTTAAATAACAATAAAATTACTTGTGGCAATGACTGGGGGTGTTATGAGAGAATTAATCATAGCATAATAATGCATGCTTCTTTGTTGTTAATTCAGCCCAACAAAATGTGCAAATATATGCAAACATATAGTGTAACAGAGTTGCTATCTGTATAATAATTTAACAATGACAGTGTTTATTCAGACTTTTGTTTGTGAGGTGTAAGCTGACAGTATCTTTTGTCATTCAGAGGAAACACAGGAGGGCAGAAAAATCAGGATTTCAAAAAATGGCACACTTAACATCTACATTGGTGTGGATATTTCTGACAGCATCAGCGAAGATTATGTCAATAAATCCAGAGACGCTGTGGTGAAACTCATCACAACGGTGAGAAACAAACAGTTTTTCTTTCAAAAATTGAGAAAAAAAGTCAAAAGTAGAGTTTTCCAAAATGATATGAAAGCACATTTTACTGGAAGCTTTTTGTTTTTTATGCTGCAACAAAACCTCCTTTTGTGCTATAGCGTGCTGATTTTGCGAACAGTCAGCAACATTGGGCTTGGACTGGAGTTATATTAGGATTGCTTTGCAAATTGCAGGATCAGTTTGGAGGTCTAACGGTGTGCATAGGGTGAAGCTACAGGCTGCTGTTGAAGGATGCTGGCAACATATTCGCTGAGTCTTTAGAACATTCGATCAGATATTTGATAAAATGACAGGCTGCAGTTTAATTATTCATGTGTCACTGGTTTATTTCTGCCTTTAAATGTGGCACATGGACCCACAGGCGTACGTGAGTGTGAAGCTTTTTACTCTGACAAACTTTAAGGAGCGCATCTTCCATGATGTACACATAACGTACACACTAAATCTCATCCAATCTGGCTGCCACCGCAACGGCCCATTAGAAGTAAATTTCATTATGTATTACAATTCATAACCGTGACTGATGCTTCTTGGCATGAGTCCTTTGGCTGGTTGTCAATATTCAGCACAGGATACGCTAGCTGCTGATTTATGGACCAATTACTAAACAAAATAACAAACATAAGCAATCTGAAATGTAAGGAGGTGTTGCATTAAGTTTACACGTGTTCACAATGGCGTGACAGAAGTTCATATGAGATCAACCCTTTATGTAACCGATTTCCTTTATGTATCAACAGATTGCCTCCTTTGCCGTGACCCCAAACTACGAAATCATCTTTTTCTCCTCTGAACTCTATGAAATTGTCAACATTATTGACTTTATGGACGGCACTGCCAAACTATCAGATGTCAAAACTAAATTAGAAGAATTTGATATTGGTGGTGAGTAAAGCACGTATTGCTATTGTACTCTGTTAGTTTGTTTCTAACAATAAGTTAAGGAATGTGCGTTTTGTGCTTCTTCCTGCTCAAAGACAGAAACAAGGGAACAAATCTGAACCTTGTCTTTGAGGAATTCTTGGAGAAAATGGCTCTTATAAAGTTTCAAGCTGGAGAGAATTTTAAGGAGCATCGTCACGTCATCATCGTTTTTACAGATGGTATTTCCAGCCTCTTGATTAACTCTGCTGTCAACAATAAGAAATGCTCGTTAACTTCTTGTTATCACAATATGGGTTTGTTTTTTTTGGCTCTAATATCTAAAAATATTGTTTTTTTTTTAAAAAAAGGTTTTGTCATTGTTTTTCACAACAGGGGCTTATAACTTGGGCGGTTCACCAGCACCCACTGTAGCGAAAATAAAAAACTCAGCGTATTTGAACCTGGCAGATGGATCCAGAGACGACTATCTTGGTGAGTTTTCCATCCAATTTGTGCATCTTTCTATTTTTATACAGTGTAATCATTCCAACTTGATCCTTCTTTACAATAACATTTTATTGATACACAACAGTTTCTTGTTCGATGCTCGCTTTAATGCATAACATGCTCATTAGCATTCTGTATATATTGTATATAAATAAACATGTTATGCTTCATTCTGCTACAGACATTTATATCTTTGCCATTGGAGATGACATCTTTGATGATGACCTAATGCCCCTCACAGCAGGAACTGGAGGAACCCATTATTTCAGAGTTAAGGACTTAGAAAAACTACAAGACACTTTTGATGAAATGATCAGTAAGTTGTGTTTGAAGTGAAGCATGAACGTCCATCTGTTTGTAGTTCAGCTGTGTGTGTATTTGTGTGTTTGCATTCACTCCAGCATTCATCATCCAGCACTAATAAACACAAGGGACACAAATGATCATAACTGGAGGCCTGCTTGGTTCTCTCGTTTCCTAAAGTACCTGAGATCAGAGCGATTACTCTTTATCTAGCCTGACACCAGTGATGTAGCCATGATAGAAATATGATCATGTATCCCACTGGACCTGTATAATGCAGTTTAATGTAATGTAAAGGGTTTGAGATACTGAAATCCAAACTGAATGCAGCCTAATGTTCATTGTTCAACTTCAGTCTTCACTGCTGCTGCTACCAACTACTACTAACAACAGCAGTACTGATAGATTTATAAAACCAATTTAGAATTGAACAAAATTGCAAAGTGCTTCACAGAACAGATGAAAATGAAATTTTAAAAACTTCAATAAGAAAATAATGATAAGTCATGAAAAAAACATCTTACTGTGAAACTGCACACTCATTGAGCTGCAGTGTTAATGTGGACTGTATTTTACAAACTATAGATGATGTTGTATTCAAGAAGACTTTAAAATGAGGACCTGCGAGCATAAACTCATTAGGAATGGGCTCACTGTGCTTACATATGCAAGCACAGTTATTGTAGTTAACAAATGCTCTCCACAACATAAAAACTAAAATGAAAGCAAACCCACTACGTAAACAGAAATTAAACTTTAATTATTTCAGATTTATAAACTTAAATGTAGATGGATAAATCAGGTATACCACTCTACACTTTCAGCCAAAATCAGAGGGGTAGCTATATTAATTAAGAAAGATACCCCGTTCAAGCATAACACCACTATAGCTGATAAGAATGGGAGATATGTATTAGTGACTGGGGAGCTGTATACTACTCCGATCACTCTACTAAATATATATGGGCCTAATCAAGATGATCCAGAATTCTATAGAAAGGTCTTCAGCCTAATTCCGGATATACCCAATAGTAATTTAATAATTGGAGGGGATTTTAACCTAGTATTAGACCCATACTTGGATAAATCCCTGTCTAAAAAAACTATACCTTGTAAAGGTAGTAAATTTATTAAAACATACATGAGGAATATGAATATCTGTGATGCGTGGAGAACCTTAAATCCATCAGGTAGAGAGTATTCTTTCCATTCCCACGTACACAACAGTTATTCAAGGATTGATTATTTTTTGGTGGATGGAAAAATGCTCCCCTTAATTCGAAATGCAACCTACCATAATATTATTATTTCTGACCACTGTCCCGTTACTTGCTCCTTCGTATTTAATAATCCCACTAAAACATACAGAAACTGGAGATTTGACCCACAACTACTGAATGACTTAAAATTCAAACAATATATAAACTCTCAGATGTCCTTATTCTTTGATACAAACGATAATGCCGAGACCTCTCCAGATATACTATGGGAAACGTTTAAAGCCTATATTAGGGGGTCTATAATTTCATATCAAGCGTCACGGAACAAAAGGAATAAACTAGAACAACTAAATTTAGAAAAAAGAATCCACGACCTGGACGTCAACAATGCAATGGCTCCTTCTTTAGATAATTATTTCAGATTTAAGGACTTAGAAATTAAACTGAATTACAAACAAACACATTAGAAAATACAAAGCCTGGGGAATTTTTCCCATTCCCTTCCATACAAACAAGCTGCTGACCAATGAAAAAATCCAAGTTGCTCCATGTCACTCACAGAAGCTACGTGCAGTTTTACATGCAGTCATATGTGAGTCCATGAACATAAGCAACCTACGACCAGATGATTAATGTAACTATCGCGATGTCAACCACTGGCTTTTTGCATCTTGCAGCTAAGATGTTGATTTTGGGGACTGGAGGGGAGGTCTGAATGGGAACTCGCACACGCATTGTTTTTTTTTTTGTTTGTTCTTTTTAAACATACTTAATATTTCAATAATAAATTACAGAGATCAAGACAAAAAGCCTTTTCCCCTGTAAACTTCTACAGCACCACAATTACCCCAATCTGGTGGCCCTCTGATAGAATTTAGGCTTAAAGCACTTCTGAATTGGCACTTTGAAATTCATTTTTCCAATCTGGAGGCTACATCCATGTTGTATGCTTATGCAACCTGTCTGTGCAGCAGGCCACAGTCCCTGTCTGCCTCACGTCCTTTATCATTTTACCTGTAACAAAAAGATCAGCTGTTTCCTGCCTCAGTGATTACCGCGATTACTCGCCCCATCTCCCTGACTATTTTAAATGGTAAGCTAAGTCCTTAAT